CCCCCCCCCCCCCCCCCCCCCACCCCCCACCCCCACACACTGCTCCCGATTTCCCATTAAGGATTTTATTGCATTCTTACTATGTCTCTCTCATGATGATTAGCTTGTGAACATGAACTATGTATTCTTTGGAACCCTCTACCTCAGAAGGCAGTAGAAGCAAAGCCTTTGCATACTTCTAAGGCAGAGAATAGTAAGGCATCAACATCAACTCCACTTCCTAGTATTATCCTCTCACACCTTTTATGCCCAAATATCAGTGCAATTCTGTGTTGAATCTACTCTGTGAGCACGTACAGCCCTCTGGATTAGCTAACGAGAAAACATTACAGTTCTGAATGGAGAAATTTCTCCTTATCTAGACCTACCAGTTTTGAGACAGTCTTCCATACTTTTAACCCAGTCTTTCCTTCTTTTTGTTATGATCTATTTAACCCTAGTAGAGATAACACTGTGCGGAGCTGGAGGAACACAGCAGGCCAAGCAGCATTAGAAGAGCAGGAAAGTTGATGTTTTGGGTCGGGGGGCCCTTCAGGAAAACAAAAGTTCTTTCTGTTCATTTTTGCCTGTGTCCTTAAATCTCAATAATGGAGGTAGACTGTCATTCCTGCTTTTCAGATGTCCTATTAATCTCATTATCTGCTTCCGCTTCCAGGAGTTTTCAGCCCAAACAAAATGCTCCATTGAATTTTGGCCCACATTACTACTTCTGATCCCACCCCTTTATGATCCCAATTTTGAGAATAGGTCTGGAAATACAGTTTGTGGTGTTCTTTGAAGTCAACACCTTTTTTTAGGAAGTGTGAAAATAGGGTTTTGTTTAAATGCCTTTAATGCATCAAGATAACATTATAAATTTTAAAAACTATTTCAAAACTGTCACTAAATTCTTAATTAATACATCTATGCTTTTATAGGACAAAAGTAATCAAAAGAGAAAGTTTCTGAAGCGTGGTGAAGGACTAGCAAGATTCTCAAATGTTAAGTCAAGATGTTTGACATCCAAGAAAACAACTGATAAGGAAACAAACATAACGAACCAACAGACAGCAGGTTCTCAAAGTTCAGTGAACACCACGCATCAAAAATTGCAATGCAAATTCACAATATTAAACAAAGAAAACCATTTCGGAAGCTCAGCTGCACTTATCAATAATCCAGCAGCAAATAGTAAAGGAAAGAACAACTCTGCTTTGTGTGTTAAAAAGTTAACTGCTTTGGACAACGGTAAAGAAGAAAACTCCCTCCGGTCACCTCTGAAAATGCAGGCAGACAGAAAAAAAATTACATCGGTTGGTAAAATTCAAAATATCCCTAAAATCACTAAAATGGAGAGTGCAAACATGGCTCAAAAATACGAACTGAGTGCATCAAAACAAACTGGACAGAGCACTGTCACTTCAGATAGACCAACAGCGGTTCATAATGGTGATAAATTTCACACAAATGAACACATAGTTCCTTTATGGCCAAGTAATAAAGAAGCAAATGGACATGAACATACACTTGAAACATCATTTCAGAAAAATTTGGAGAAGTGGAACAAGGAAAAAGAGAAAGAAAATATAGAATTGCATGAATTTGAATTTCTGGAGGAGGCGGCTGAAGAACTTTCCTTCTCTAGCAATTCTTCCTTTGTACTCAAAATGGTACAGGGTAATTGGCCAAACAATGAATGTCGCAGATTGTCATCTACCCCAGTCAAATCTGAGCAACACCAAACCATTGAAAATTCAAGTGAGTCGGTGCATGTTGGGAATACAGATTTTGAGGAAAATGTTAATCTTAAAAGTTCTAATGTGTTAGAACATAGGAATAGGGTAAAGGAAAATGGGAAAACTGTTTTAGGCTCACCAGCCACTGATAAAGTAGCATTCAAAGCTGTTGACTGTGATCCTTTAGAGGATGAATATAGCAATTGTAATACCACTTTGGATTCTGAAATCGATGACCTTGATTCCACACTGACAAATGAAAAAACAACGAGGAGGCAGTCTATAGTCTGCAGTAGTGACAAAGAAGATGATCCTAAATCTAAATGTAGAAAAAAACCAACAGATATTCTCAATAAAGCCAAGAACATGGATACAGATCTTGACTTGTCGTCGTTGTCCTCGTCGTCGTCTGATGTTGATATTGAAATGCCTACTGTAATAGAAAACAGGAAGGTTTTTTTGAGCCAGAAACAAGATTCATCTCGCTTCAATTCCAGATGTGAAAGCAGTTCAACTTTGCATCAAGAAAATGTTGATTTTGATGATGAACAGACATGGGCTGACCTGGACGAAAGTGGATTAATTAACCATGAAGATAACTCAGCAGAACCTGCTAATTCTTCTGTATTAGATCAATGTTTCTCTTCTGGAAGAACAAATGAGGATAAAATTATGCAAAGAAAAGTTGCTTCTGCTAAGAAGGGAGATGTTGTGGATGAAAAGAACATGGACAAAGCCACAGAATCACCCCCAGTCACTGATTTGATAAAGAGATTGTTTCCTTCACTGAAATCCAAGACTGAGCCTGGATTTGATCGAGGACTGGAACAAAAATTTAAAGCTGTGAATGATAAACCAATAGGTATAATATCTATGTACTTTGTTTCTTAAATCAAAATGAAAGCAGTGTATGTTTTCATTAAGAATTTGAAAAAGCTTCTTGCATACTGGGGAGCTCGGTATTTCTGTTGGGCTAGAGCTGGTATGGCCAACCATCAGTAGCTGAGAGCAGGATTTTTAAAAAATAGAATAATTCTTTTAATGTTAAATATTATATTATCCCGACTTCCTTTTTAAGCACTTTGAAAATAACAAATATTTTGTGTACTGTAGGGAGAGGCAGGCAGTCAGGGATGATGAAAAGTTTGTAGATAGGAAGCTGGAGGTGAAATGCTGCTTGTTATTGTTCAACTTGACAAACTGTTAGGAGATTTAGAATCAGGATAATGATTGCCTATTCACATAAACATAGGGAGAGCTAGCCTTAGCATAAGGCCAACTTGGAAAAATTTTATATATCTTGAGGTTTATACACACATTGAAAACCTATTTAGTCAATTCCCATCATATATTGGCCAGTTGCAGAGAGAGATTACAAAATGGAGGTATACTAGAAAGAGAGGAAATAGGATAATACGTTTGCCTATATCTCTTAGAATCGCTAATTAAGGAGCAGATATTGAGTTGAAGGTCAGAGGAAAAATAGAATAAGTGGAACCACAGCATCTGCAGTAGAGACTGAACAGCAAGAATGGTATTTGACATTAGAGCAGAAGTAGTCAACGAATAGTAGGTTGAGGGTGTCAGAACTGGACTGAGGACCATACAAGAAAGACATTTGGTTGTGAATTGAGACGTAGCCATTGATCATTTGAAGTACACTTTTTCACTACAGTGGAAGGTTGCAGCACTTTGCGTCACTTCACCACCAGATCTTCAATCAGCACCCATCTAAAAGCAGGGAATAAATTAAAAAGAAAAACACACTCAGCAGAACAAGAGAGATAGGAAGGCAGATAGACAGGAATTATTCAATAGGAGCTGTTTAGAAAAGAAAAATAAAAGCCCAACAGGGCATAAAATGATGGTTAGGAGCACAACAGACTGTTTGTTTGAGATAACCAGGTGTAGAGCTGGATGAACATAGCAGGCCGAGCAGGAAAGCTGACGTTTCGGGCCTAGACCCTTCTTCAGAAAATCCTATTGACTTTTTTTTTTTGTAATAATTGTGAAACTGTCAATGCTGATTGTCATTAATGGCACTCATTATGATCATATTTCTTGAATGATAATTTCCATAGATTTTTAATGTGCAAAAATGATGTTCTACTTTTTATTACGTAAAGTGATTCAAATGTTAAGGCTGGATAAAAATAAGCAGTGTGTTAGGAAGGGACAGGAGCTTAAAGATTATGGCATATTACTGACTAAGGTGCCATCGGGGGATAGTAGAAAAACGGCAAAGCCAAAGCATCGTATTGAATGCACAAAGTTTCACAAATAAATGGATGAGCTTATGCGACAAGATTTCTAAAAACCTCTAGTGATATGTGTCTGCAGTACGACTAAAGGTGGGATTCAATAATTTGGAATGTCTTTTAGAAGGGTTAGTCAAAATAGAAAAAGGGCCAGGGTTTCAGCAATGCTAAATGATCGGGTAGACAGTACAAAGAAAGAATCTTGGATTTCAAAAATTCACGTAGAATCTGTTTGGATGGAGCTGAAAAACAAGTTGGAAAGGAGAATTTTGTGAGTGGTGACCTTATGTAAATTGAAGAAAAAGTACAGTAGAGATTAGGGCTGTGGCCATCAAATCTTGTATACCTAATTTCTGGTGCCCTATGTTTTAAAGATTTGGCTGCCAAAGATCATGAATGTGTTATTTATGATCTTCCAGAGCAGTCCCTCTGGATTAGAAGGCAGCAAAAGTAATGTGCTATTTTAAAAAGGAGGGGGAGAAAAAGCATAATTATTGGCTAGTTAGGCTGCTCGTGTAGGGAAAATGCTTGACTCTGTTCTTAGGAATGTTATATAACAGGGCATTTCGATTATGATTACAACATCAGCAAGAATCAGAAAGTTAACATGCATGTACATCAAGCAATTAGGAAAGCAAATGGCATGTTAACCTTCAGTACAAAGGGTTTGGAGTATAATGTCTACAAAATCTTCTTGCTGTTGTTAGGTCCTTGATGAGATCATTATCTAGAGTACTGTGTACAATTTTAGTTTTCATACCTAAAACAAGTTAGGTATACTTGCATTGAAGAGAATGCAACGACCGTTCACTAAGCTGATTCTTGGTATGAGGGTATTTCCCTAGGCCTATGTTCCCCAGCATTTAGAAGAATGAGTAGTGATCTCACTGAAATATTTAAAATCTAAAGGGGCTCAAACTGGGTAGAGATGTTGGATAGATGGTTTTCTATCTGGGAATCTAGAACATGGGGTCATAGTCTCAGAATAAGATATTGCCCAGTTAGGACTAAGATGAGGAGAAAGTTCTGGCGCCAAAGGGCCTTTGTAATTATCTCTCTGATTTTCTGCCTCAGATTTGTAGTTCCAGTCATTGAGTATATTAATAGATTTTTGGATACAAAGGGATAAGGGGATATTGTGACATAGAGTCACACAGCGCGGAACAGACCCTTCGGTCCAACCAGTCCATGCCGAACATAATCCAAAACTAAACTAGTCCCACCTGACTGCTCCTGGCCCAAATCCCTCCAAACCTTTCCTATTCGTGTACTTATCCAAATTTCTTTTAACCGTTGTAAATGTACCCACATCCACCACTTTGTCATGTCTTTTTTAAATCTTTCTCCTCTTACCTTAAAAATGTGTCCCCTCGTCTTGAAATCCCCCATCCTAGGGAAAAGACAACTATCATTAACTCAATCTCTTCCCCTCACTAGTTTATAAACTTCTATAAGGTCACCTGTAAAGCACCTACGCTCCAGTGAAAAAAGTCCCAGCCTATCCAGCCTTTCTTTTTAACTCAAACTGCTCATACCTGGCAACATCCTGGTAAATCTCTTCTAAACCCTCTCCAGCTTAATAATATCCTTCCTATAACTGGACAACCAGAACTGGACACGGTGTTCCAGAAGAGGCTTCACCAATGTCCTGTACAACCTCCACATTACTTCCCAATTCTTATACTCAAAGGACTGAGCAGTGAAGGCAAGCTGGGTTGATATACTTCAGTTACATCATGTTCTTATTGATTTATGGAGCAGTTTCAAAGTCCAGAATTGCATAATTCTTATTCTGTTTCTTATATTCTTGTATTCCAATCAGAAATCAGACAGATTGGCCAGTGTATATTGTGAAGCTTTCAAGGGAGAATGTAACTAAGGGTGGAAGCAGCATGAGCAAAGTTGTGCAGAGAATAATTGCTAGGGTGAGTGGAAAATGCATTGGAAAGATTTCCAACAATTTGGAGAAAAGTTTAATATTTTTGTTTTCGAGAAATCCTGGGGAGTGAGTGAGCAATTGTTTCAACAGTTAGCTTGCCCACAATAGCTGAACTTGGAGTTGCAGTGCCTCAAGAAAAAATAGCATAGACACCTTACGTTCTTGCTATGGTTTTAGTGGGTGTTTCACTAATCTCCTTGGTGGACAATTGGGAGGCCCACTGTGGGACTTTGTCCTCTTTCCTCTTCCTAGTTTTCTTAATCTCTTAAATTGTGTGCTTCAGGCAACAATAACAATTATGTTAACTCTTCATTTTTACAGCTTTCATTTTAAATATATTTTGCGCTGTTTACTAGGTGCTGGTATCCAGTCCAAGTTACTGAGGGATAAACTGGCAGAATTAGAATATGAAATTAACCAATTTCGAGCAGAAAATGCTACATTGGCCAAACTCCGAAATGATAGAGAAAAAGCCATGGTGGACCTTAGGTACGTGCTTGTGGTTAATTCCAATAAAAGGGAGCATTTATACAATACTTATCGCTCCACAACCTGATGGCGAAACAAAGATAAATTATTTTTCTACCCCTTTAAAAATGTCATAGAATGAAGCAAAAAACTTGTACAAAATCCACTGCACGTTACTATTTACTAAAAGTTTGGGTCTTTGTTTGAATTTTTTTTAGGTTCGGTTTCATAAGTGAGTCTCCAATTTCGTGTGTTCTTGTACCCCCATCACCTCCCTACACAGTCACTCACTTTGGTATAACAGTATCCCATGAAAATCTGAACTGGATATTTGTGATCTTTTGCAGATGCTGCCATGTGATTGCCTCTAACATTGTTGGTAGTGAACCAATAAACCATCGATATCATCCAGATAAAGTAGCTTGCTTAGTTGGCACTGGATGATGCAGGGATAGTACAATCAGTGAATTTGTGACCCAGTGAAATTAAAATATTCAGTTAACTTCAAAATTGCCCAGTTGTTCCTAACCAGACCTTATGAATATCAGATCTTTGCTGTAAGTTTATAACTTGAATAAAAATTAATTTATTCTTAATGCTGTAACTTTAGCAGGACAAAGCCAAACAACAGTGTGTTCGCGGGCATATAACTGGTACAGGTAAGTTAGCAGTGAATATGAGCACTTTCGGTTGAGTTCCACAAGTGTTCACTCATTTTTTACAAACTAGAATTTTTTTCTCAGAACATTCAACAATTCTTTCACTGTATAGAAAACTAGAGAAAGTAAAACATAGTACCTGGTCCTAAAGCTTCCAGAATCAATCCGCATCTGCCAAAACCAGACAAAACAAACGATCTGTGTTTTTGTTTTAAATCAATATTATCTATGTTTGGCTGGTTAGCATTGTTTTCTCTTGACTGACAAACCCAATATTCAACCAAGCAGCTAGCACTGAACATAGCAAAGCTCGATGCCAAATCGTCCAGTGTTTTTTCGTTGCATTGTCTTCTAGACCATTCACCAGCAACAAACATTTGCTTTCGTTTTCTTTTAAAACATTCAGCTGTTCAAAGTTCAACTAATCCTAACACCAAATCGCAGTTCCACCAAAACTATTAAAAAATAGGGAGGCCTCTGCAGCGCCCAACTAAACACCTTCAACATTCACTTCCTTTACCACTGACATACAGTGGCAGCAGTGTGTAACACCTACAAGATGCACTTCCCAATTAACTAGAGTTCCTCTGACAACACCTTCCAAAACCATGCTCTTCTACCATCTAGCAGGACTAAGGCAGTACGTGCCATGGGAGCAACTTTTCCTGTAAGTTACCCTCCAAAAAGCCACATGCCATCTTGACTTTGAGCTATATGCTGTTCCTTCACTATTGCTGCGTCAGTATTCCATACTGTTTCCCTAATAGCACTATGGGTATATTTACAACCCAAGAACTACAGTACTTCAAGAAAGCAGCTTACGACTAGTTAGGGATGGGCAATAAATGCTGATCTAGCTATGACAACCATACCGCATGAATAAATTAAACCAGAGTAAAAATAGTAGGTAAGTCTAACATGTAAAGTTGTGCTGCTTAATTTCACAGGCAACTCTTGCTGAAAATTCGAAACTAAATACATCTCAACGGTACAATTAAAATCAAAACCAAGACAGGCTACTTAATGTTCTCAGTTATTGAAAGCAGCTTCAATGCATATTCCATTAGCATTTTAACCAGTGTCGTCTGCATTTTTAAAAAAATTATGTGAATACCCTTTGCTTTAAAAGCCAAACTATTTGTGACAAAAATCCAGAAATGCAACACAGTTGTAAGAACTCAATAAGTGAATTGTTTAAAAAGTAGAGTTTGTATATTTTGTTTTTGTTTGACAATCTGGAATCTGTAAGTTTCTTGTCCAGAATGGAATAAGACCTAAAAAGTAATGAGTGTGAGAAGGAGAAGGTTAAATGTTAAAAATCCATTTTACTAACGTGGCAAGTAAAAATGTTACTGCTAATATTGTTAAGCACTGAAAGCAGTCAATACGGAAACATTTGCAAAAAACAATGTGTTGCTGTCATCTTATGATCTCCTGAGAAATGGATGCATTTTTTTAAAAGATTAATTTCCTAACTACTGACTGAGATGACTGAAGGGCAAAATTGAATGTTTTAAAATTTTTACAAACAAGACTGGAAACACTAACTAAATATTACTTTGGTGTATTAGTTGCCTATTAAATATTAAAGAATCATTTGTATTGATTTAATGCAACCAAAACAAAGCATGTTTTACTTTCTGGCAAGCTTCAGGCAGATACGTATGTAGAGTAAACTATTAAGTCCCAAGCTGCAGCCAACTTGCCAGCAGGTTCACTTCTTCCCATACCAGGTTGAATCTTCCAGTGTCCTTTTTAAAAATCCTTCCTCTTGGCCTGAGGTATTCCAGAACTGGCTTCTACCATCCAGCAAGGCTCACCTTAGTATTTCAAATTTCAAAAATTCCTGCTCCACTCTCTTCAAACAGTGAACCATCAAGTTAATGAAAGCAAACTACTGCAAATGCTAGAGATCTGAAATAAAAACAAAGTGCTGAAGAAATTGTGCAGATCTGGCAGCATCTGTGGAGAGGGAACAGACTTAACTATCCAAATCCAGTATGACTCTTTGTCACTATCTACTCTCATCAGCATGTTCCCAGGGTCCTACTGTTCATCATATATTCCCTACCCTTGTTTGTGCTGTCCAAGTGTCTCACCTCACAATAATTTGGATTGAATTTGATTTGCCACTGATCAGCCCATCTGAGCAGCCTATGTCTATCCCCTTTTAGTCAAAGGCTATATTGCAACTGCAGTGTGCCACTTGGTTTCTTCACTGCTGATCCAGATTTCAAACCATTTAATCTTGTTCCCACAAAGTAGCCATATAGTGGATTGACAAATCTTTCTGTAATGATCCTACTAACTAAATTGAAGACCACAGTGTTACTTCAGTGGTTTAGATTCTGAGTTAAAATATGATATAAAAGGCAAAAATAACTAATAGAAGATGTTTGATCTTCAGAAAAGAAATTGCAGACTTTGAATGTAAGAAAACCGAACAGTTAACTCAATTCGAGGAATATAAAAAAGAAGAATTCAAACGACTCCAAAAAGAGCGAATGATTTTTGAAAAACATGCTGCTGCTGCAAGAGCAATCCCTGACAAAAAGGAGAGGCAAGAAATACAGGTGAAAATCTCCCTTTGCATTGTTACACTTTTGAAAATTAAGTCCACTTTTCAATAATTGGGATGCTTTTACTGAATTCTTGACCAAGAATGTGTAGTAATTTGATTTGTATTTGAAAATTTACCAATAGTTTCTTTAGTTTTTCTCTCTGGTCAGTTTTCTCATAACTTTAACTTTAAAATATTGCTAAAGTTTTCTTTTGCACTCATTGGGACAAATGCAAAAATGCTAATTTTAAAATAATGACAACAATTTATATGAAAGGAAGGAAAAAGTTGCTGATTCCTTGGCAAGTCAACTCTGACCAACGTGCTGCGATCAAAAATGCAATGGGGGAAACTAAAGGCTTTCCAAACTCCTGGGTAATTAAAAAAGACGCAATATCCCTTTTTGTTTGCAGAAAATGGTTTCCTGCATCTAAACGTGTTATTTCTAGCAACTGTAAAAGAGCCACTTATAAGTTCAACTGAAAATGTTAAATTGATTGTGAGTATAGCTATGAGCATGCTCAGGATTGTTCATGAATTGCTGTTGAGTTGCAGAATAACACCTGATGTTTTTGGTTTGTTAGTGCAGGCTGTTGATTATGGTCTGTACCACTTGAATTTTCAGTGCATCCTAGCAATGTGAAACACTTTGACAAACCTGTTCGTCAGAAATCTCAAGGGATCATGACATATAGGGTGCCACTGAACAGTACTAGTTCCAATGGTAACCGTCAGAACATGACTAAGCCAAGATCTATTCTAACACCATATAGATGGGATTATTAAAAATGTGCCTGGCTGTACTATATATAACTGAACCTATTACAGACATGTCAAACAAGGCAGAGCAGAGCATGACCACAATCTTTTAGTGCTGATGGCAGCAGCACAATGACATGGAATGGCATTTAACACCATGGAATGCTAAGTCTTCATCAAACAGCTAAATATTTTTGGGTCAATTTACTTGCCTATAAAGTCCGTCCTGATTGAAGCAAAATTGTGGATGTTAAACATTTGCCCACCTCAAGGGATAAGAAGAATCTTAACAAGGATAAAAAGAATAACATTGCCTTGGATATTTCATCTTTGTCTCCTTTTCTGTAAAGTTTGGAATATATCATATCTCCACTGAGAGCTTAGCTCAAGAAATATGCCCCTTTATGGAGCAAAATGATATCAGAATATCTTCAATTCTCTCAAGCTAGTTCTGTTGACAAAATCTTGCCCACTGCAATACTACAACTCCAGGAAAGACACGATTCTGGAAGTAGATGCATCACAAAAGATCCTGGGTGCCTGTCTTCTGCAAAATGGAAAGCCTATTGTTTCTGGTTTAAAGGCCCTTTCATCTGTGCAAGCCAACTGTTCCAATATAGAGCACAAGACATTGCCTCTGGTAATTGTCATCATGCATTTCACATCTACTTATTTGGGATGAAATTCACTCAAGGTAGACCATATAGTACTAAAAATGATCTCTTGTAAACCACTAACAAATGCACAGTCGCATTTATAGTGTTTTACTTCTCAAGGTGCAAGGCTATGACTTTGAAGTCAGATACAGGGCAGGCAATAATTATGTTTGATACACTGAGTAAACTCCTGTTTAGATTCTCACTTGTTGGAAATTACCATTGCCCAGCAAATGTGAAACATAAATGTGAAGGACACTGTGTGGTTGGATTTGATGATGCCAATTCTGGGAGATATGATCCATGTACCCGGTGTCATATCAGCACTGAAATTCAAACATAATGTCGTTCAGTTGTGTGGGAGATGCAGGCAGCATCTTGTTAATGAAAAATACTACTCGCATTGCACAGTAGCATCATGTCTCATTATTTGTGAGAGACAAAAAAGAACAATTAATGTTTTGAGTGTTCTGTTACAAAAATAAAATGCTGCAAATACTGGAAGTCTGATAAATATAAACAGAACTTGTGGGAAATGTTCAGTAAGTCTAGTTGAATTTGTGATGAGAGAAGTCTGTGACATTTTGTCAGATCAGTGAAAAGTTGGAAATATTATATGTTCTTAGCAAGTGCAAGGGGAATGAAAGGCACAGTGGAAGTTCAGTAATAGTTTGAATGGAGGGATGGGAAAAGAAGAGAGGAGGAAAATATGGCAAAGAGCACAAAACAAGTTGCGAAGAGAGGTTGTTGTCAAGAATTTTGGAATTGATGTTGAGTCCAGAAGACCATGAAGTGCACTGTTGAAAGATGAGGTGCTGTTCCTTAAGCTTGGCATTAAGTTTCATTGTAATGCTCCAGAAGCTTGATCAGAAAGCTCAAAGCAGAAACCAGGTGAAGAACTGAAATTTACAACTTGGAACAGGTGATGTGTGTCGCACTGAGGTATCGCACTAAGCTAATGAAAGAACAATTGTATCTATACACAATGCAGTTTTATTTCACAAACTCAAATGGGAATTCAGAAGGAATTTCTTTACCGAGTGACTACGTGGACTTGCTATGTGGAATAGCTGAGGCAAATGGTATAGGTGGATTTCGGGAAATGCAGATTCCTGTATTCTGATCCACATGCCGTAGATATTGTGTGGGAATGTTGGGGAAGCACTCCACTATAAACCACACACCACCTGACCTGTATATAAAAGGAGAAGGACATAAAAGATTATGCTGGTAAATTTAGATGAGAATTTATAGGAAGAGGCTCAAACAGAACACTATATAAACCTGGCTGGATCTAGTGACCCAAATTGTCTAGCTATAATAGTGATTTACAGTTGCTTTACATATGCTTTTGGAACTTTTTGTTTCTTTCTTTCTTTCTTTCTTTCATACATAGGCACTGAAACGGCAGATTGTCGATTTGCAGGAAGAACTAAAACGAAAAGAATTAAGGTGGTCAAGTATTCATGCAAGACTTCGAAACCAGATTGATACACTGGCTAAGGAGAACAGAGAACTTAGAGATGAAGTTAACATTATGGAAAGACTTCGGTTGGAAACTTGGAAGAAAGCTGAAGCATTAATTGAGAAGAAAACAGACACCACATCTCCAGGACTAAACAAAACAGAATTAGCAGTAAGCTTGGGTAGTATACTTTGGGTGTGACAGCATTTTCACATATTACATTTCAACCTAGACAGCTGTGATACTATGCACATGCTATTCAAAATAGAGAATGTCCAATTAAAATTCTTAAAATTTGTCATTTAATGAAAAGGAAGAAAATCAGAAGAGGCTTTCCTGTTGAATTAGTATTGTATCATTTCTACGTTTCTTAATTTCTGTTAAAAGATTTTGGCACACAAATTACTTTGAAATAACTTCTCATCAATTTAAATATGAATTTTTAGAACTATTGAGTTGCTAAAATTATTTTCATCGATTCCATAGGGTTTTCCATATTAATATTTTAAAGTATTAGTGTAGAACTCAGCATTAACATAGAAATGAAGGGTACATGTAGGAAATAAGCATATTCCTCTCACTATGAGCAAGGTCACAGGAAATTCGTAAATAATATATATTACCTTGCTCTGTGCTGTCGCATGTAATGCTTATACCATAATTCTGAAACACTCCTCTTGGTCATTCTTAAGTCGGTATATTTTATGATAATTGCATCCAGATTTCTTCTGTCATCTCAAATTAGATTACGTCATTGTAAACTAAAAGTCACCTGAGCATTTAACACTGTGGCAAGTAAATCCAAATATGTGAGAATAGTTACCATCTAGGTGTCACTGTACGAAACATGCAGTGGCTCATGCAATTCAGCTTTCTCCACTTGAGTGCCTTGTAACTGATGCAAAACCCACTTAAAAAGCTGTATGTCTCTTTTTTTTTTTCCTCTTCTGAACACCAACCCCCCAGCCAACAACAAGTATATTCAGTTTGTTAACTGATCGAACCAACCCTTATGTTAAAATACCAATATGGTACCCAAAAGTCTTGATTGATTTTTACTGTCATGTGTATTGAAATACAGTGAAAAGCTTTGTTTACGAGCAGTACAGATCACAGCGAGCAAAGGATGTACAGAGCAAAAAGACTTGAGGCATACACGTTTCATTGCAGGTTATATTATTTGAGGCTAGATTCTGTTCAACAGTCTGATAACAGCCGGAAAGGAGCTGTTCCTGAAACTGCTTGTATGTGCATTCAGGCTTCTGTATCTTCTGCCCGATGGAAGAGGTTGCAAGAGGTCACTTACCAGGGTGTGATGGGTCTTCGATGTTGGCTGCCTTTCCGTGGCAGCGAGCCATGTAAATAGTCCATGGATGGAAGGTTGGCTTCCGTGATGGTCTGGGCTGTGCACACAACGTTCTGTAGTTTCTTACAGTCCTGGGCAGAACAGTTGCCAGACCTGGCGTTATGCACCCGGACAGTATGCTTTCAGTGGTGCATATGTAGAAGTTCGTGAGGGACCTTATGGACATGCCAAATTTCCTGAATTGCCTGAGGAAGAAGAGGCGTTATTGTGCCTTCTTGACTGTCGCATCTACATGGGAAGTCCCAGACAGGTTGTTGATTATCGTCACTAGTCAAGGCTATTATCCAAGGAGAAATGAAAGCCCAAAATATCAATCATGACAAATTAGAAACTCTGGCCACAAGAAGCAGGTGAATAATAGCCTAAAAAGAACAGACAAATTACTCAACATTCTGGTAGGAATTAAATATCACAGCCATGCTCCTGATTTCAGATTACCTTTTGAGCAAAGTCACTGAAAAATTGTTCACAATTGCTTTCCCTACAGTTGTGCAAAATGGAGAAATAAATTTTGTAATTCCATAAATATTAGCATTTCCTGTAGAGTTTTTTTGTAGAATTGGAAGCAATCTTATTTTCTGGTTGGAGGTATGCATAGTGATCTTAGTATTTTTTTTACAATAGGTTCAACCAGATGTTCCGAAAGACAGAGGCAGAGCTGCACAGACAGGAGGGAAGAAAATCTCTCGCATGATTGAACAGGTACCATCATCCAACTTTTAACAATGTTGTATTTGTTATCTATATAGGAGACCTTGATAAGGCCACATTTATTATCCATCATCATAATTGCTCTGAGAAGGTAATAGTGAGTTTACACAACAATGTTGGGCCTGGAATTAAGTTATAATCCAACAACTTCAAAAGAACATCATTATATAGGAGACAGAATAGAGATAAAGTGAAAATTCTGAAGCTGAATGTCTCAAGTGCAGTGGCTTTTATGCATATGTTAATGAATTGAATAAAATAATAGAAAGCTGTCGACCCAAGTTTGTAGATGATGCTTAAGTTAGGAAGCAAAGTAAATTGTGCAGATGAATGTAGGAATTTATAAAAGGAACTAGAATGACTTTAAAAGTTGGACATAACTACAGGAAATGGACTAATGTACGATATCATCCTTTTTGAATACAAAAAGACAAATCAGAACATTTTCTTAATAGTAAAAGACTAGGTACAAAGGAACTTAAAAGACGCCCATATATAAACACCATAAAAATTGGAGCTTTATTTTTTAAAAAAGCCAAAAATCTTAATGAGTATTGATCTTTTTCTCAAAGGTTTAGAATTAAAAAGCTAGAAAGTAATGTTTCAGTCATACTGAGGCATTGTCAGATTTGCTACATTGTTGCACTTACTTTTGGATGCTGAACCTTGGGCATGGTTTATTGCGTTGCAGAAAGATGCACTGTAATGCACGTTCATCAGTGTGATACTGGAGATATGGAGCAAAGGTAAACATGTGCGATTGAGGTACAGATTAGCTATGATCCAAATGAACAGCGGAACAGACCTAAGAAGCTAAAAGGCTTAATTGATCCCTATATTCAGATCCACATGACAAAGACATTAAGTGTGGGAGTGTCCAGGAACATGGAAATGAGTGCTTTCACTATAAGCCTCACACCACGTGACCTGTATATTATATTGACGTTTGTAGCTTCACTTAGGCAGCTGAATAATCCATTGTGAATTTCTTTTGTCATTCACAGGATATGAGTAACATTGGTTAGGCCAGTATTTATTACTGATTCCTAATTGGCCTTGAGAAGGTAGTGGTGAGCAGCCTTCACGAACTGCTGTGGTCCTTGTTGGCATAAATATACCCAAAGTGTTGTTATGAAGGGAATTCCAGAATTTCAATGTAGTGACAGTGAAGGAACAGCAATATAGTTCCAGGTTTGGAATGGAACTTCCAGGTGGTAGTATTAGTGTATTTTTCAGTGAGATTACCTTTTAATTCTTCTCCATTCTAAAGAGTATAGATTTGCTTGATTTACTTAGTCTCATCATAGCCCAGATTTTCATACCAGGAACTAATTTAATGAATCATTGCTATACTGCTTCCAATCAAATTTCTCATAGCATTCCATGTGTGTTCTCACCAAAGCCCTGCACAATTATAGCAAGACATCTTTATTTCTGTACTGAAATTTCCTTGTAATAAATACCAGCATGTTATTTGCCTTCCTAATTGTTTTCTGTACTGCATGTTGGCTTCATGTGTTACTGTACATGTACACACAAGTTTCTCTTGACATCAACATTTATGCTTTTCATTCCTTTCAAAAACTAATAGATATTCCAGATGGTTGTTGCAGCAGTATTTACTGAGTTGTGCATTGGGACTGCACAAAATCCCAATGCAGCTGACACTGAGATTTGCATGGGAAATTGAAAATTCTGTTAGGCAATTACCCTGAGTTGTGAACTATGCAAAAATGTCCCTTTAAAGTCAGAGATCTTGGAACGTTCCTATTCCCATAAGCAGAATAGTTGTGGTAAAAGTTAAATAATTAAAAACCTACTCTAACCCCTGAATCACTATTAATCCATTCACCTACACACTTCTGCACCTGACTATATTTCACCAGACCCAGCAAGCTGCCGATTTCCCCCTTAAACTTCACTTAAAGCTGTTAACCAACCATAAGTACTCAACCTTAGCCACTTAGCTGGGCACCTCTCATCCATCGGACACCCTACCCCTGGCACTCTAATATCTTCTCCACCCACCTGCAACCCTACCCCCATTTTAACTTTCATACTTAATTTCATGGATTAATTAACTTGCATACTTAATCCTTCACAGCTGCTGTCAAAGAAGTTGCTGGATATTTAAGTTACAGCATGTGTCAAGTACTGCTGTGAAACGGGCCTCAGATTCAACACCACTGGCTCCACTGTTCCTGCATGGGTTCCATTATTGTTTAACAGCAGACTCTAGAAACTTCCACACCAGAAGTGATCTAAATGTAAAAATACCTTTTTTTTTGTGTCCAATCAGGGTACGAAATGGGCCTTCTGAAACTAATTGGAATATCTGGACCATTATACCTTTCTATTTTTACAATCAAAATGAATAACCTTACACTACCCTTCATTATGCTGCACCTGCCCTCTTATTGCGTACTTACTTTGCCTGTATATATTTCTTTGCAGCCTGCAACATCTTTCTCAACCCAGCTTTGTATTGATGGCAAACTTAGGTACTGAATTTTTGACTGAGTCATCACGATAGATTGTAAGTGAGTAGCTGAGGCTAAGTAGTGATACTTAAAAGAACTCCCCAGAGCTCACCCTGTCAATTTAAGAATACCCCATTTAGGCCAAGCATTTGGATCCTCTCCATTAATCCATCCCTTATCCTTGCTACCAGATCCATAAGACATCCCTTTAATGTGTGTTTAGTACCTGAATGAATATTTTTGGAAATTTAAGTGCAGTACATTTGCTGGTTCCCTTTTATCTAACCCAACAAATGCTATTAAATTTATCAATAACAATTCCCCTTTCAAAAGACCACTTCGTTATCTGATCATACTGTGATTTTCTAAGGGCATTATTAAGACTTCCTTAATAATAGCCTGAAAGAAAGTGTTGCAATCTAACTGGCCTGTAGTTCCCTGTTTTCTCTCTCGCTCATTTTTGAATAATGGTGTCACAATTGAACAATTGCTAATAATTCCATGGGATCAGCCATGATCATATTAAATGGCTGAGCAGGCTCGAAGGCCTGAATTGCCTACTCCTGCTCCTAGTTTCTAGTTCTAACTTTCTGCTCGAACAATTCCAGAATCTGGTGAATTTTAGAAAATTGTAGCCATTGCATGCAATATCCCAGGGAGTAGATCATCAGGACTGGAGATCGGTCCAGTTTTAGACCCTTGAATTTATCCAGTTCTCTTTGTGAATTTCCTTAATTTTGTACTTACTTTGGCACCTAGGTTATTATCTATTTCTGATGTGTAATCAGTGTCTTCTACTGTGAAGATAGACAAAGTAATTGTTCATTGTCTCTGCCATTTCCTCATTTCTCAATATTCTGGCAGAAGTTTAATTTGAGTAAAGATAGATGATATTTATTGTTGCAGACTACCCCAAGAGATGTTAAACTTGGACAAGCTGTGAAATTATCTGCTCCTACAGTGACCAGAAATAGCTTAAAAGAAAGTGAGTACATCTTTCCAGTTAACAACAAAATAATCTTATCTGCAAAGTTATTTACAGGTACAGACAACTGTAATAATTTTACAGCTTCTATGATGTGTGGGATTAATATTGTAAAACACATTTGCACCCAGGAATTTGCAAAATTTTACAGCTGTGTGCATGTATCTGTGTCAATTGCAACATATTCAATAATGTATTAGCAAAGTCTATAAATAATGCAATGTTTGTTTCTAACATTAAATGTTAATCAATGAAAACAGTGAATTTTGCCTGAACTGAAGGAACAAAGATAATTTGAATGATCAGGGATAGAATAAAGTTGGAGAATACAATGATAAATAACTAGTACAAACAGAAAAGGAACTAAAAGGGAAAATAAATTTAATGGTTGGTACAGCTACATTAGTAGAACTAACATCAAAGATGGATGAACAAGAGGAAGAGATTTGCAGAGAGGATCTGAAAATAATACATAATGACTGAAACCTGACTAGATTGAGAACGTTAGCCTTTCTGCTCCTATGATGCTGCTTGGCCTGCTGTGTTCATCCAGCCCTGCACCTTGTTGTCTCGGATTCTCCAGCATCTGCAGTTCCTACTATCTCTGATTCAATTTTAACCCCACTGCGAAGCCTCTTCTAAGGATGCCTAGCCTGAAGAAGTTACCCTCCTCCCTCCGGACAAACCTCAGGGGATCTCTCTTCCACTGCAACGGCTTTTCTGATGAAGGGTCTAGGCCCGAAACGTCAGCCTTTCTGCTCCTATGATGCTGCTTGGGCTGCTGTGTTCATCCAGCCCTGCACCTTGTTGTCTTAGATTGAGAACAATTTTGGCAAATAAATATTGCAGGATATAACACATTCAGGATTAAAAGAGAACTAAGGAATGTATCTGTTTCAGTTAAAGATAACATTATGGAAATGGTTTAAATAAAGTGCAACTGTTACTGGACAGATACAGAAAGCTTATGTATTGAGTTAAAAGAAGAAATTTTTCCATCCTATTAACAGTATATCATAGACCACAAACAATGGAAGGGCAAAGGAGGAAGAAATAAGTGAGAAGCAAGAATAGGATAATGTGTACTCTAAGCAGTATTATATTTTTGACGGTACAGACCCAATGGGCCAAAAGGCGTCTTCAGTTCTATGTGATACTTTTTAATGCAGTAATGTTGGGAAGTACATGATTGCCACAACCAAAATTGATCAGCAATTTTGTTTTATTCATTCAGGTTCTGTTTCGATATCTTCCGTATCCCTCACTGATGTGACTGATTCTGCAACGGGTAGTATGATGCATTCAGAGCTCTCTGGAAATTCTCCAAACTCTGTTGGGGTTTCAGCACCAGCTGGATCTGTAAGTCTTCAGTGATAAATATGCATACTGGTAGAAAAACTGATTCTAGATTAAACCAAAAAGTTTAAAGCAGCAAGATGCTAATAGTACCTTTTTAGATCACGATGATGAAGAATAGATTTACTGTTTAACTTCGTATTGGTATGATCTCAGCTGATGTTACTACTAGACAAGTTGGATCCTAGAGCGAAATCGTGCTTGATCCTAGTTTCTATTTATTTTCAGTTTAGTGTGACAGTATTTTATTGAAACAAAACCACATAGGGCTGAAGAATTGGTTTTGGAATAAAAGAGAAATTTATGAATTTTTATTTTAAAAAGCTACCATCAGTGTAACACAATTTGAAAGCTTTCAAAAACACATGGCAAAATAACGTTCCATCTACTCCCCATTGCTACACAGTTACTCAGAGGAATGTCCTTCCCTGCCCACCCTGTAGGTTTGACTTAACTATTCTAACCTTGGTTCCTACCGTGAAGGGTTTTGGCCTGAAAAGTTGACTTTTCTGCTCCTTGAATGCTATCTGACCGGCTGTGCTTTTTCAGCTCCACATTTGTTGACTCTAGTTTCCAGCATCTGCGGTATTTACTGTCTTCAGTTCTTGTCCTGTGAAGTTGTGAAATCCTAATATCACTGACTTCCGAGAATTTCTCAGCTTTGAATAACCAATGCAGATTTCTACCAAGCTCTCCTGGTATTGGAAGCTTTCACAAACTGAAACCTTTATATTGAGAACTTATTCCATTAAATGCTTTGAACAAACTCCCTTTTCTAGGAGAAATCATTCTTGCACCAACCCCAGTCAGGTCTCCTTTGAACTGACTCAAAAGTTTTTTAAATTTTTTTTTATATAAACATATTGATCACACTAGCTTCTGTTAAGCTAATGGCTTCATTTCTTCTTGTCCTATCATAAAAACTACAATATAAACACTCCAGGAGGCCTTCAGTCATCTGCTTTCTACTTGAGTATTAAACCCCCTTCACAAAAAAATGACCAATACTTATATACACCACTTGTTTGAAATCCAAATGCTGAGAAAATGGTGTTTATGTATAAGTCACATACCTTTTTCGTCAAAGTATTTTCCAGCTGGGGACACCCAATGACCCATTAAGTTTATACAGTGAACAACTGACCTATCAGGTCCAGAAAATTTTTAAATTTTCAATCCTTGTTTTGTTCTGATGCAGCTGGGCAGCTGTGGGGATACTGTAGTTATTCCTCGTGTCCAAGGCTAGGGCAGAGTTATTGCTTCTAATGGTTAACCAAAGGCTCATGCATCCGTGAGGATCAACCAAAGAGGACTGAGCTGTGGTTTTGATTCTCCCCTTCCCTGTAGTTCAATAACCCCATCAACTCAGAAGTGGGTATGTAAATATTGACCAGTGAATAAGATACTGAAAGACAGGTAGCACACTGGGAATCATGCCCCAGCAAACTTTCGATGTATTCAGGAAGGGAGGTAGGTAACAAGTATTTTTTTTAAATATTCATAAAGAGAATGCTGAAGATATTCTGCATCTCTAATGTAATATGGAGAGAGGATGGTAGGATTAAAATTTCTAGTCAGGGATCTTTATCTGGTCCTAACAAAAGTTCAGCAATCTCTGGCTTGCAAAGAAATTAAGTGAGAATATGGAAATTATGCTTCTAATAGGGATGTCATCAACAGAACATTGCAATAATGACATGCAGGATGTTGTGCCATATGCATGACATGGAAGATATTGTTAATTCATCTCGTGTGCATATGATAAGTCGCTGTCATTTTTGTATTTTTGTTTTTTGCCATTCCCTGTTTGTTAACACAATACTGGGGACCAGAAATCAAATTTGGCAACATGTAGATGAAATGAGTGTGATGTAAGTTCATGATGTTATGAAACTTAGGATTTAATGTGACAGCACCATGTACAGCTTTAAGCTGTATATCTATATTGTGTGTGCTAAGGAAGGAAGGAATGACTTAGTTTAACTTTTGAGTTCTGAGAGTGGTGGTGTAGTATCTGGAAATAATTACATGCACTTAAATGAAGCTTTTAAATAAATCCTTGAGGTGAACAGTTAAATGCTTTAGAAAAGAAAAGGATGTTACCTATAACAAGGTTTACTATGACACATGGAAATAAATACTGTAGCCAGTTCTTTTAGAAAGACAGAGCATCCAGAAGGACAGTGAATGTTCAGGTTTCTATCAGAGCAGCTGGTCATTCGGGAATAAAAAGTTTTATAAGAGCAGCAATGCTGTTTAGCAATCTCCAGAACAGTCAGGACAGGAGAATGAAGTACCGGGTGGGTTAATGTCAGTAAGATATAGCTCCAGAAACAAAAGACTGAGGAAGAGGAGCTTAAGCAATTCCATGTTCAGAAATAAGTGAATTATGTTAGCAGTTTGTTCAAGGATGTAATGAAGAGACATTACCTCAAAAAAACTATCATGGAGTGAATGTAGACATTAGCTAAAGAAAATGATGCTAACTGAACAAGGAACTTTAAAGTGGAAACAGGGTCACCTTCACCTGAGGTTTAAGTATCTAAGAGGTTATATGGGAACTTTACCTTGTAATAGGATCATCTAGTTCTTGTCTAGTTTAAAATTTATTTTTTTATTCATTCACAGGATGAGGGCATTGCTGTAAAATAGACTTTAATAAATATTGCTTGTTTTTTGTTAAAAGTACATTAGCAGCCTCTTTTGAATTTGTTTAGTGATTGAACATCACTATAACTAATTTACAAAAACTAAAAAGCTGGGTTCCACTCTGGGATCGGACATGTTTAGTATTACGGTCAGCTGGAATCAATAACAGTGCAAACAAGGCAAGAAAGAATGGTAGTGACTGAAAAATGATAAGCAGACTGTGACAGGAAAAGATAGAGAGTACATATCTAGGAGTGAATCAACCAGTAAGATCAGAGGCTACAAAAATAATAAAAGGACAAAACTGAAGGCTCTGTATCTGAATGCATTTAAAACAAAGCACGTGAAATGATGATATAAATAAAAATAAACAGTATGATCTGATAGTCATTACAGTGTCATGGCTGCAGGATGACTTAGATTGGGATCTGATTATTGAAGGATATGAGGCATTTAGGAAAAACAAAAAGCAAGGAAAATGTGGAAGGGTGGCCTGTTAATTAATGATGATATTAACACAATACAGAGTGATGACACAAATTCTGGAAACCAAGATATGGAAGTGATTTGGATAGAGATGAGAAATGGTAATGGCAATGCAGTAGTTGTGGCACTGGTGTAAAAGCTGGCTAGCAATAACCATCAGGTAGGATGGCATATGAAGAAAAATAATGGGAACTTGTCAGTAAGCTATGCCAGTTGGTAATAGGGGTTATTGATCTGCATTTAAACTTGATAAATCAGAAATAGACAAAGGTAACTGAGATGAGTTCAGAGAATTTTTTTCAGGATTGTCTCTTGGAGCAGCACAATCTGGAACCAGCCAGAGTATAGACTGTGTATTAGATCTGGCATTGTGCAAAGATTGATTAATTAATGACCTCATAGTGAAGGTGCCGTAAATAGCAGTTACCGTAATATGATTGAATTTTGCATTCAGTTTAAGGGGAGTGGATCTGAGACTAATACCTGGAATGTGAATCCATGAATTTCTCAATGATGGAGGAACCCAACACATTAGTTCTTAAAAAAAAGTTGAAACATTTGCAGCATTTAGCTGGATATGCCGTGTGGATGATCCATCTTGCTCAACACTAGAAGTGCCTATAAATACCAGTCTTCAGTTGATTCAATTCACTCCGCATGGTGTCAATAAATGGTTAATAGCACTGCAATGGCAATGGGCCCTGACAACATTCTGGAACTTGTACTGAAGACTTGTGCTCCAGAACTTGCCACATCCCCAGCTAAGCTGTTCCAGTATGGCTGTAGCACTGGCATCTACTTGACATGTGGAAAATTGTCCATGTATATTCTGTACACAAAGCAAGCCTAATTCAACCTGGCTAATTACTGCTCATCAATCTACTCTCAATCATCATTAAAGTGATGAGAGATGTTATTGTCATTACTATCAAGAGTACATAGCAACAGCCTACTTACTGATATCCTATTTGGATTCCACCAAGGCCACTCAGCTCCTGATCGCATTATAGTTGTTTCAGTCAACATGTTCAGGCATGTTATGACACACAGGTGGGACTTGAACGTTGGCTTCTGGCTCCGAGGAGGAGACACTACCACTGCATCACAGAGCCTTTCCCCACCTAGAACATCCAATCTTAAGCAATCTAAACCTTAGCCTCCTTGAAGTGGGGTTATAGGTGGCTGCCACAGCGTCTGGACCTGACTTCATTATACCCTTGGTTCAAACATGGATTAAAGGGCAAAGTTCAGAGGTGAGGTTAGCATGCCTGCCTTTTATAGGTGTGGCCTCGAGGAGCCTTAGCAAAACTGGAGTCAATGGGACTTCATTGGTTGGAATCATATGTTCCCCAAAGAAAGCTCGCTTTTCGTTTTGCTTATCGTGGTCAGCATTTATTCTCCACCCTCATTGCTCTTGAAGTAGTGGTGAACTGCCTTCTTGAATCACTGCAGACCATGAGTGGTAGGTAGACCAACCATGTATTTGATAGGGAATTCCAAGATTTTGACCCAGTGACACTGAAAGGACGCAATATATTTTCAAATAAAGAGGGTTAGTGGCTCAGACTGGAACTTGCAGGTGGTGGTGCACCCATGTATCTGCCCTCGTCCTTCAAGATATCTGTGGTCATGGGTTTAGAAGACGCAGTATAAGGAGCTTTGGTTACTCCAGGTCTGTCATCTTGAAGCTCCAAGGATATCACTGCAGGAGTTTCTCAGGGTAGTATACTATGCCCAACCATCCTTCACTGCTTCTCTAATGGCTTGCTTCCATCAGAAGAATGAAGGGAAGTCTCATAGAATTTTATAGGTTTCTAACAGGATATGATGATAGGATAAATTTTGGGAGGAAGTTCACAATGACTAGAGGCTTCAGAAGCAGGGGTCATAGTCTAAGGATACAATGTAGGCTGTTTATGACTGAGATGAGGAGAAATTTCTTCAGCCAGACAGTGGTGAGCCTGTGGAATTCTCTACCACTGAAAACTGTTGAGGTCAAAGCATTGAATGTTTTCAGGGAGGAGGTTAAGTAAAGATCTTGGGGCTAAAGGGATGAAGAGCTTTGGGGAAGAAAGCAGGAACAGACTGACAGCCATGATCACATTTGAATGACAGAACAGGCTGACAGGCCGATTAATCTACTTGTGCTCCCATTTTCCATCTTTCTAAGAGGGGATATTAATTGTGCAATGTTCAGCACCATTCACAACTTCTTGGATGTGGAAGCAGTCCATATCCTAATGGAACAATACCTAGCAGGAAACATTCAGGCTCGGGGTGATGAGCAACATTCACACTGTACAAGTACCAGGTGGGTACTGTAACAACAAGAGGCAAACCTAACCATTCCCTCTTGATATTCAATGGCATTACTATTAATGAATTCCTCCATTGTTAACAATTGACCAGAAACCGCACTGAACTAGCCATGCAAATATTGTGGTTACAAGAGCAGGTCATAAGTTGGCATTCTTGAAGTAGAAAAGCTCAGAGTCTGATGGAATAGGTGCTTGTATTGGGAGATATTATTAATAAAGAAAATGCATGTAGTGAGAAGTGCGAAGGTCAGAGAGGAAGCTATAGGTTGTTGAATAGAGTTGGAGTCTGAGCACAAAATAAAAATCAAGAGAACTGCAGATTCTGTAAATCGGAAACCCGCAGAGATTGGTGGAAAAGCTCAGCAGGTCTGGCAGCATCTGTGAACAGAA